AATTGGATGTTTGGTTTAAGCAGAATTTTTTAGGAGGGCGTCATTCAAATTAAAGCAAGACATGCACCTTTGGAGAAATACTTGGTTACTGATTTGGGCAGAACCACTCCCACTTAACTCTTATCATGATCTGCAGTCTGGTGGGATGCGCTGATGAGGGGTTTAAAGGGCTGGAAGTGATCTTTCACGCTAGGAATGTCAACATTGTCCACAAAGGATATCAAAATATTATGCAGTCTTGCAAAGACTATGTGTGAAGGGTAAAGGGGAAGATAAGCTGACGGCGGCTTTTTCCACTGGCCTTGCAGTGAACGTTTTTGGGAAACTCTATTTAAACTGTATACTTTTTTGGCGGTGTCACACTGCTGGATTTCTGTTATCCTTAGGCTTGAGTCAGCATGTTGGGCTCTGCTGTGTAATTGTGCAGTTCACTTGTCAGAAGGGGGGTTGTTAGATGTGTGCATTGTGTGTGAGTGTGTGTGTGTGTGTGTGTGTGCATGCTGTGCAGTCCAGTCCAGTTATTGCAGGCAGCCCTAACACAGATGGTGCTCATCAATACCACATACCAGAGGCATTGTTTAGGGAAGGGGAGTTCGAGGAGATAATTGACAGGCATAGAGAGAATCCCATCCCCCTCTGTACGCACGCATGTACAGACAGACACACATACACCTTCTGTCAACCTTCATTTGTGTCTCTTTTAGTCTCCTCTTTTTCCTCAATAAGTCTGCACACAAACTCAAAGAAACTTCATGTCTTTGCCTTTTGTGATTTAAGCTTTGTTTTTTTAAGTATTTCTCTCTCTCTCTCTCTCTGTCTTTCTTTGCTGCTCTCCCTCTGTCGCCACCCTCCCCAGCTCTCCTTCAGTTTCACCCTAGCAGCAGAGCCTAGCCTGGCCTCTGATTGGTGGACACACTGCCTTTGTGTACTATCTCCAGCTTGACGTCTCTTCAGGGCGACCTCTGTGTGCGTGTTTTTATGTGTATATGTGTGTGTGTGTGTGTATTTTTACATGACTGTATGTGTTTAAAGAGACAGAGCTGGGGGGAGGGACATTAAAACATCATGTACGCAGAAGGATAAGAGAAAAAAATGTGAGTGGGAGGAAGGCGTGATAGTGATTAGAGTAGAAAAACCATGTTGTGTATGTGTGTTTGTGGTGAACCCATTGACATACTAGAGGGAGAGGGAGAGAGAGAGGGTGGGGTAGAGAAAGAGGGAGAGAGAGAGAGAGAGAGAGTACGTGTGTACGAGGGCTCATGTAAAACTAGATTAAAAACACAAGATGGCTTCCTGAATGGGCTGCTGGAACACAGACGATAGAAAGTGAGACTGAGAAAGAGGAGAGAGGAGAGTAAACAGTGAAACAAGGACATGAAAGAGGAAAGAGGTGATAACGTAGGGGGTCGTAGTCTTCTGATGGGGATTTGGCCAGCGGACAGAGAATCACAGATCGAGGCAGCACAGAGGCTTGGAGGGTAAATATTCATCACTCGAGACTATTTTAGGATTGAGTGGGAGGGTGATGGGTGGAGGGGGGAAGAGATATATGGTTGGCTTGGAGCTCAGAAAATGGCTTGAGAAATAACACATCATTAGACAAATTAAATGTGTAGTGGGAGCTGGAGGAAGTGTTTGCTGTGCCGAACAGTAGGAAATGATTGTTTCACTGTCTTCACAGCTATTGTCATATTTTACCTTATATTCTTAGCTTCAAAAACACAAAGACACCTGTGTGTGTTTTTATGAAATTGCCCTTTAACAATACTGTCCTACACCAGCTTTGTTAAGACATTTATTATAGAGACCAGGTAATACAGACATTACATAATTCTATAAATGAAATTGTGTCCTGTTCTCTCCTGCTGGTGGTATGTGTGCACAGCTGCAGACATTGACAGTAATGGTAGGAAGGTAGCATATAGACTGTCATGTATGTTGATGTACCTGATGGCTGTTAATGATGAGTGTTCTTGGAACAGGCCCTTATTGCATTATTGTATTGATTGTTATTCACTCCTCCCATCTTTCTCTCTCCCTCCCTGTGTCTCTCCCTCACTCCTTCTCTTTCTTGTTGGTAAATGGCTTTAAAGGTGGCATATTTTGAAGATAACAGTTGCGAAACATTTAACTGGCAGCTGAGGTAAGATGGGGCCTTTCATTTGTGTTTATACCTTGTTGTTGTTGTTGTGTGTGCGTGTGACCTGTCTGTTATGGTTTGAAAATCGAGGCACGCAAAGCTTTTAATTGTGGTGATATTGCATTGAATTAAAGGGAATAAATGTTCCCTGTTAAAGTTCACACAGCTATAAACAGCTTTACTGTAAAGATAAGAAGTCGTTATATAATCCCTGATAATATTGTACAGTTAAATAAAATTGCATTATTACCTGTAAATATGTACCATCTGAATTTGAGCCAACCTTGTTGCAAAGTCGCTCCATTAAATCACCATTTCAAATGTAATCTGTAGGCCGTGGCATTTGAGCTGAGCACCTTAGTGATTAAGGCGTGTTAAGTGTTCCGCGCTGCCCACTGATTGGGGCCAGAGCCAAGCATCTGTAGATACCAGAGACCAGGAAAAGTGGGAGGAGGAGGAGGAGGAGAGGTAGTAGTAGGAGAAGGAAACTAATGCATTGGCTCAGGAGCCAAGGGGGGGCGAGAGGGACGTCCTTCTTCTCCAAGGTTCTAGAGTCACATGAGGTAAAGAGAGTAAAAGTTACTGGGTCACGGTTTATTCTAACATAAGTGACGACAAAATAACAACCCAAAAGACGTCTGGATCTTTTTCTTGCAAGGGGAGAATGCAGCTTGCTCTTCTGGCAGCTTCCTCATCAACTCCGAGTTGCTGCACCCTTCCTCTGCGCTTTTATTTAGTTTACAAAAGTATCAGATTACATATCATGTGATCGTGTGTGAGTATATGAATGGGTACGGAGTAAGAAGGTGGGTGTGAATGGGGGTGTGGCTGTGTCTGGTAATTTCTCCATCAGTCTTGAGCACACTAGATTATAATATGAGAAGCAAGCAGTTTCTTAAAGCGACAGTACAGCATGAAGCAATGATAATAAATTAAATTCTTCCATGCGTATGTCTCTGATCGTGGGTCTGCTCAGAGATGGCACGCTTGTGTGTTTATGTGGGGATGAAGAGAGAGCAATAAGGATTAAAAAAGAAAACGTTCTGAGATTGTACCATTACACGACTTGTCTGATACAAGTCTACAAGTGGAAAAAAGAAAGAACAAAAGAAAGAAAGAAAGAAAGAAAGAAAGAAAGAAAGAAAGAAAGAAAGAAAGAAAGAAAGCAAGATTAAAAAAAACCTTAAGACTTACCTCTGAACTTTTCTAATGTTAGACTTCTTGACGCTGACTCTTCAAGTAGCTCAAAGAATGCAACAGGGTAATTTAAACCACCTATGTCAGCCTACGTTTGTAGTGAAGGGAAATATAGGTCAATCATCACATGACGAATGGTCTGATCACACTACCCAACTCACTCCCTAATCTGCTGTAATCCCTGACCATGACTAGAATAACTAGAACATCTGTGAAGTGTGGTTTGTACACCCATCCTGTTTACTAGGAAGAGAGCTAAATGCCATGACTGCACATAAGGCACCACTGCAGCTACAGTCTACAAGTCTATTGTTGCATAAAAAGACTCGAAAATATCTGCTGAATTGGGAAGGTGATCTTGAACAACATTCAATCTATTTGTAACTTTGATAATATGGTTTCTGAAGATTATGTCAAGCTCACCTTCATCATCACATACTGTATTAACCCTGAAGTCACGTCAGAACCCATTCAGAGGTGAATAGATGATAAAGGACAATATGAAGAAGTGTTTTTAAATGGTTCTCTATATGGGGTTTACAGTCCAAAGTCCTCACAGTGGACAGTGAAGCTGTCACACAGAAACCGTGTCCACTTAAATACTCTGTCCCCCATAAGGCCTCAAACCCACAACTTCAAATCGTCACATAGTTGTGAATGTATGAGGGAGTTCCAAGGGTGATGCAGGGAGGAAGGAGGAAGTAGTGAATTGAGAAATGGGATTGTATAGATATGTTCCAAAAACCAGAGGCCTAGTAGTTCCTTTTTAGGTTCTACACTGATAGCTACCTAACATTCTATTGAAGGTTCTATTTTTGTTCTTCTCTGCATGTCTTTGGAGTTACGATGACATCTTAAAGGGCTGTCATCAAATCAAAGGTTAAGACAAATAGGCCACAAGGTGAACCCGATTATCGTTTCATCTCGCTCCGACGTCTGGGAACTACACGATCTCAACTTCATAAATAAGAACGAGTTACATTAAACTTACAGTTCGTCGCAAAATATCCTGCCCGTTTTTTATATCGATGCATTTTATAAAGAACTAGCGTCTTCAGGGCGCAATACGATTTTGGTGCGCGAGAGGTGGCACGGTTCGACACGTGATCGTGCTACACCAATCGAGTAGCTGATTGATGTTAACACTTTCGGCAACACGGCTACCTCCGTGGTTCTACTTAACGTTACCAATAGAGAGGAATTCTCCCAAAAGTCCTATAAAGTGGGCCAAATGGACTCTAAACAGTGCCGCCTGCACGAAGAACAATGAGGAAAATAGACGATAAGGTAAACTTTCTATGTTAAGTCATTTTGATCAATAAAAGGAAGTAATCAATGACAAGGACCATTTGTTTATTCATTCGTTCATTTATTCGCTCCTAACTAAATACAACACCGATCGATCATAAAGAACTTTATTAAAACATATATACATACAGTATGTACAATATATAAAACAATACAAAACAGCATAAGCTTGTGTGGTAGCTCGCTCTGCAGTTCAGAAAACAGAACCAGGTTTAGAGGTTACCACAAAAAGCCACAAGTCAGACAGTCTGAACTTCTGTTGTTCCACTCCCTTACACAGGATTTCCTCTTTATCTTTTCCATGAGCTGTGGGGGGGAAGGGGGGGGGGCTTGGTT